TAAGTAACTTTGATACTCAATCCCATTAATCTTTTCTTTTACTATTTGCATGCTCAACTCACTGGTATTTACTATATTTAACCAATACATTACCTTTTCCAAAGAACTTTGAATGTGCTCCCTTGCTTTTGCAATCTCAGAAGCTAATAAGCTGCAATCTTTCGACTTACAAGCCTGGAAAAAAGTAAGTAATATTATACATATATGAAAAAACAATTATACCGGATTTCCCATTTTCAATGGGTTCTGGGTATAAAAATACAAAATAAAATAAAAGCCCTCTTAAAATAGGCAACTGCGTAAAACTCACTCACGGCATGAAAGTAATGAATCCCGTATTAAATTATTACATTTTTTCTACCCTGAACCCATTGAAAATGGGAAATTAGAGCATATTGTTGTTGTGAAAATATATCCGAAGAAGCTGTTTGGTCTTGGGTGGTCAGCCCGAGTATATATACAATATTTGAGGTCTCTAGCATAAATAGTATCATAATAATTTAAAAAAACCCTATATCTTCAGGTCCGATTTGTCTGTCCGTATATATGAACGCATCGATCTCAGAAGATATAAGAGCCAGAGACTTGAAACTTATTTCGTAGGTCCGTGTATATCACGCGCATATCGAGTTTCTCTCTAAATATCGATAACTATTCCCGATATTTTATTATCGATTAAAAGCCTTATCGAAAATGAGTTATGAGTTTAGAGCTTCCAAATTTTAAATGTAGACTTAAATATATTTTATATAATTTCGATTTTTTTTGTAATTTATCCCCCACCCCTATATCCATCCCCACCTTTGTAAAAGGCGTATTTTAAATACAAGAGACTTGTGAGCATGAGCACTAACCAGAGAACACATAGACTAGACAACTAGTGGAAAGCTTTTTGCACGCTTTTTTTGAGGCTTTAACACCCCAGACAGCTACGAAAAAATACGAACGCACAATCATTTCGCTTCATGCGCTCGACCTAGCGCGCCTCTTCAATTAAAGCCCAAAATCGTTCACACAATTCTAAGTTGTCGTAGGCACACGTCAATGCTCATGTCGCATGCATACACACATAAACATACACAAACATACGCACATACATATAAAGGCACTCAGATGCTTCTACAATGATAACCCCATCATTTTTGAGCATCGCGGCCCCTGCGTACACACAATCAAACATATGTATGTAAGTGTGAGCAGTTCACAAGATCGACCTAATGCAAATGCTGGGCTTTAAAATTGCTACAGGCAGCAAGAGCCTCGCACACAGGCATACAAATGCTCATAGTACAGGTAGCAAGGGAGAGTGTGTGCGTGCACGCTCGTCGCGAAAGCATTTTCATTATGAGCACCAACGCTTTCATACCCTTCCCACAAATAATAACGAAAACGCAAATATTTTGTAGGAGCTTGGCAAACGGCTTGAAAAGTTCGGTATACTCTTCACACAGAAGGGAAGGCATGGGTTCTTGCTGCGACGAAATTTCAATTTTCGTGAGCTGCTGCTTGTGCTCACATGCATACATACATATACACATTCGAGAGAGCAGAGAGCATCGAGAGAGAGAGAGAGCAAGGGAAACATTGAGCATAGAGGGATCTTCTGTTCAAAATTTTACCATCTCGGTCGAGCGCATGAAGCGAAATGATTGTGCGTTCGTATTTTTTCGTAGCTCGAACCTAAAAGTAAGGAGCCGAGCGAGTCCAAAGCTGTCTGGGGTGATAAAGCCTCAAAAAAAACGTGCGAAAAGCTTTCCACTAGTTGTGTAGTCTATGTGTTCTCTGGTTAGTGGCATGAGCATAGTTCTATAACAAGAAAAGTTATTAAACAATTAAGTTTCCATAGTAAACCCACAACGGGGAAAGTTATCGATATTTAAAGCAAATCGATATACACGGACCTAGGAAAAACAAGTAAGAACGTTGCAGTCGGGCGTTACCGACTGCGGAATACTCATTCACATCCCATCAACAATTTAGTAGTTAAGTTTCGCTCTAATACTGTAGAATATACAGGCTTTTCCGATTTGCCACGCCCCTACTGGGCGTAGACACCTCATTTTTGGTCAGTTTCTAGAACGAGATAACAGTACCCTAACTGCAAAGTTTGAATGCTTACTCTCAAAAAATGTGAAAATTACAGGGTATTTTTCGGTATGCCACGCCCCTAAAGAGGCGTAAAAATTATTTTTTGGGGAATCGATAGAGGAGGCTACCAGTAACTCAACTATCTAAATTTGAAGCTTCTAGCTATTATACTTTAGAAGATATACATTTTTGCGGTTTGCCACGCCCCCTGCGGGCGGACATATATCCGACAAAGCTTTTTGGTCTTGGGTGATCAGCCCGAGTATATATACAAAATTTGAGATCTCTGGCATCAATAGTGTCCAAAAAATAGCAGAATTTGAAAAATCACTATATCTTCAGGTCCGATTTGCCACGCCCCTAATGGGTGTAGACTTATAATTTTATTTTTAGACATTATAGAATCATAACATTAGCTGACATGCAAAATTTCAGCATTCTAGGTTTACAACTTTAGGAGATACAGTTTTATCCGATTTGCCACGCCCCCAATGGGCGGAGATATATCCGCCATAGCCTGTGATCTTGGGTTGTCGACGCGGACCTACATACCAAATTTCAGCTTTCTAGCTCTTCAACTTATATGATTTCTGGTATATCGGAAAATGCATTTTCCGATTTGCCACGCCCCTAGTGGGCGGATCGGGAAAATTTTAACACTTTATAAATCGGAGATATACACGAGTATGTGCTCCAAATTTCAAGTCTCTAGCTTCAATAGCGCCGAAATAGATTGCGTTCATACGGACAGACGGACAGACGGACGGACGGACAGCAAGACAGACATTGCACAAAACCAATATACTGATTCACTTTCGTGAATGAGTATAAAAATTTCAAGTCTCTAGCTCTTATATCTTCTGAGATCGACGCGTTCCAACACACGGACAGACGGACAGGGCTATATCGACTCAGCTCGTCGACCTGATCAAGAATATATATACTTTATGGGGTCTGCCACTCCTCCTTCTGCCCGTTACATACATTTAACAAAACCATTATACCCTGATTTCCCATTGAAAATGGGTTCAGGGTATAAAAAAAAATAACATCGAAAAGGTTTCGAACCTCCCCTACTCTAACATAATTTGCGTCGGCCTTAGCACCCGCGCTACTGCCTTACTTGACCAGCCAGTTACTAAAATAGAATAGCTTAATAAGAGAGCGTCATCGGACAAAACTACAGTAACGGCTAGAAAGTCTAGAAATCAATCGACATTCTAAGAATGTGAGAAAAGGCGCGCTTCTGTCTGTACGCATAGAATAGACGATGAGTGTGTGTACATGTATAGGAAAATCGCGCTGATCTGCTGCTAGCTTGAAGCCGGTATCCAATATATGGATATAAATACAGTGACGAGCAAAACTGTAACACGAATTCAATGTTGCAACTTCAAGAGTCTATATTTTTGCTTCTACTCTATGGATGTTTAAGATCTTAATTTTATTTTGTTAGTATGGTATTTAGCTGTCTTACCTAAAAATTTGAAATCATTCGGTTGGCTGGAATAATTATAATAAATAAAAATGTAAAGAAAGTCAAATGTTACAGTTTTGCACCCGGGTCATTTTTCAACAAATGTATTTATTAATAATTTTTTAATAATTAATGCATAGCTCTTTTGATTTTTTTTGGCCATTAATGTCATTTGCCATCATTTTTGTGTACCGTCGCACCATTTAGCAAGAATCGCGCACCAAATATCCTTGCTCCTCTCCCACGGCTCTTTCATTCCACTTGGAGCCACCCATAATTCGCAAGCTGCGATTTCACATGACTTCATATATTTTCAATGCTATTCATGTCTAAAGAGTATTCAGGACACTTCAGGGACTTGAATCCTTGCCATATTATCCACTTGTTGACCAAATTAGACGTGTTCTTTGAGTCATTGTTCTGCATTTTTCAGTAGTAATTCTCCCAAATTTTGTTGTAAAGTGATCAGGTACTATGCCGAAATGTTATTCCATTGATTAAAACCAAGAGTTGCAGCACAATTTTTATTTATTCTCCCTTAAACCAAAAGAGAGCAGCCACCGCGCTTGACAGTTTTTCTTACTGTACTGTTACAGTCAACAGACTGGACTGTGGGAGCTTAAAGCCAATGCCGAGATTATCCATATGACTCAAAATGGTTGTTTATTGTTTCTTCTGACCATATTAACAGTTTCAAATCATATGAACCATTAAGATCTTAAACATCCATAGAGTAGAAGCAAAAATATAGACTCTTGAAGTTGCAACATTGAATTCGTGTTACAGTTTTGCTCGTCACTGTATATAAAAAAAATCAAAATAGTATAAATTATATATGTATGTAATTTGAATGCAATGATGCAATGATTATAGCAATAGCTATCGATGATTTTCCAATTTTAATGGGATCATGCCCTGTTTTTTGTTGCGCACTAGACCACTATATACTCTGGTTGACAGCGTTTGGGCTGTGAATGAGTCTTCTGCAATCGGTATCGTCCGACTGCAACGTTCTTACTTATTTTAGTTTAGATTTGTTAGATGGCGGTGCAGCAGTAGATCTATTTCAGTTTTGTCATCAGACTTTCGAAAGAATGGCGTTGTTACTAGAAGCGGGACGCTCGATCGAGAAGTCTCGAGTTCGACTCCAGATCGCACAATTTTATTTATTTTTATTTTAATTGTGTCAATATATATAATTTTCTCAATTGCCACTAGCATAAGCCCGTCATGTCATTTGTTTTGGCACAATGTAATGTTAAGACTTTCGACAATCTAAGGAGCATGGAGAGTCCAGTCAGACATTCGAGGGGAGAACCTCACCAGTTGGACAGATTTAGTTCAGTTTATATTCGGACCAGACACAGTTCAGACCTATTGTTCCAAATTATATCAAATATATTTTTTCATCGAACACCAAGTTGTTATATATTCACAAGAACCCAACACAGCGTCCCCAATCACTAGTACTCTAGTGCGGGTGCGCTTAACTGGCGCCCGAGCAGGGACCCACATTCTTCACAAAAGGAAAATGGTGACGTGTCAATAACAAAATATAACAATAACTTATAAAAATGCAAGTACAAATAAATTGTTTCAAATCTAAAAGCTGGATTGGACAATTGTTGGCAAAATTAAGTGGTACTTCTGTGATTTGCAAAGTAATGGGTGAAACACCAATAACATTAAAATACAATAAATAACATTAAAATACAATAAATAACATAATTTCTAGCAAGAGCTAGACAATTTTATAACATAAAAGAAATCGTAGCAAAATCCTTGTAGAGACGATCCTTAAAACGAAATACAAGAAATTTGCAGGCTAAATGGTGGTACAGATTGATTCTCGTATCGAGGTTCAAATCCTTGCCGTAAGACAAATATGATAAAAAAAATAAACGTCACAATTTCCACCTGTGTTGAATGATGGGTTTCCGTATAAATTAAAAGGAGTTAAGTTTAAAGCACTGACAATATAACAAAATTAAAAGGCGGCTGTCTGGAAATCTCAACAAACAAGGCATAAATATGCAAATATACAAACATGAATTATTTAAATAAATAAATGCAAATGCAATAAATGCAAGAGAGAAACCAGAAAATGAGACAGTGCCATATAAAGATAACATACTTAAAAATTGATAATTCAAATAATTTTACAACAGACAAAACAAAATAATACAATTGGTAATTCGATGAAATAATATATTAAAGAAATATATTCACAAAATATAAATATTCACATCAACAATTTAAAAATGTGTTAAAAAAATGTGTTTAAAAAAAATGTGTTAAAAAAATTGTGTTTACAAGACTGTTAGAGCATTACTAACGTTTTATCTCCACAGCAAGGAATTCCGCGAGACGATTAATATCATTTTCTTATCTCAATTGGAAACGGTAAATAGCAGTAACTTGGAAACAATGAAAAAACTGATTTAATGTAGAAAAATTAAATCGAAAAATTAAATTGATAACATAGTAGGCCTTGCATCGAGTCGAATAGTATGTAAGTTTTCCGACATTAAAATTATTTAGTTCACTTGTGCACCGAGCTCAAGCCGTAAGTAAAAAATTTTTTGAAAATTTTACGAAAAAATAAAAAAAACCTAAAAAGAAATCTTACTAAAAAAGGTAATAATAATAATAATAATAAAAATTATATAAATAAATAGAATAAAAAATACCAGGTAACGGGTGAGTAAGTCATAAAAAATGCTCTTGTTTAAAATAACATTTACAGTGAGATTAATTTGCTAATAAATAATTTAAATTCGTAGGCAGTATGGAAAATACGAGTATAAATGAAACATTGCAAGGGTTAAGCGCGGCAATAACGGTGTTAGCCGATCAATTTTCAAGTCTAACAGGAGAATTGAAGCAATTGAATAATAAAGTGGATAAATTGGAAAATAAGGATACTAATAAGTCTTTATTAATAGAAGAACAACAAATCTCACTGGCCCGTCCACGTTCAGAGCTCGAATTAAATGAAATTTCGTCATTGCCGGACTGTGTTAAAGTGTTGCCCACATTTGAGGGAAACCCTTCACAATATGCCTCGTGGGTAAACAGGATCGAGTCCGTACTTGAAGATTATTCTATTATCAAGGAAAGACCTCTATATCGCTCAATAATTTTACATATACGAGGAAAAGTAATTGGAATTGCCGATGTTTCACTGTAATCGTACGGTGTACAAAATGATGATTGGCCTGAAATTAAGCGAGTTTGGCGATAGCATTATGCTGATTCAATTCGAAGCTTGGAATACGAATTGAATCAAATAATTCAAGGCAACAACGACTTGGAAACCTACTATAAGCAAGTTAATAATCAGTTTTCTTAAATTTTACAGGCCTTAAAGGCAAGCGAACAATGAGTCGTAGTATTGTCCGCATTAATAGAATCATATAGAGATAGAGCTTTAGATGTTTTCATAAGGGGACTAAACGGTGACCTACCGAGGATGTTAACAGTTAGCAAACCTAAAAATTTACCGGAAGCTTATGCCATTTGTGTGAATTTACAGAATATTTTATTAAGAAGTAATGGTGTACAGGGGACATATATGTCTCGTGGAATTAATGATTATCAACAAAATAAAAACTGGAAAAATTCTTCATAAATCAGATTTAAGAAAATAGAAAAAAAAGGAAAATGCACATTTAATTATATTGTAATAATCCTCTTTTAACTTCCTTGACTTCCTAGCACCCATAGCACATTTAATTATATTGCAATAATCTTCTTTTAGCTTCCTTAACTTCCTTAGCACCCATAGCATTTTACACGTGGTATATCCCTCCTAGTTTCGATCATTCATGGTAATAGGGATTTCCGAGATGCCAGACGGAATGAAATAAATGCGCTTACAATGTTGGATGTATTGTCATAACCACAAATGCAGACTAAATGTATGGAACTATGAATGGTTTGAATTAACTTGAAGGTGGATATCGATGGCCCTCCTTACGCTAATTTATGGACTCTAGATAATAAATTTATATTGGATAATTATCATTATATTGGACAATTTATATTGGATGGATATCGTATTGGATAAATATCATTATATTGGGCAATTTATATTGGATAATTATCATTATATTGGACAATTTATATTGGATGAATATCGTTACAATGGACATATGCACCCTGATCTGCGGGACGCAGATATTTAGGTGGGGAAGAGTTAAGACTTTCGACAATCTAAGGAGCATGGAGAGTCCAGTCAGACATTCAAGGGGAGAACCTCACCAGTTGGACAGATTTAGTTCAGTTTATATTCGGACCAGACACAGTTCAGACCTATTGTTCCAAATTATATCAAATATATTATTTCATCGAACACCAAGTTGTTATATATTCACAAGAACCCAACACAGCGTCCCCAATCACTAGTACTCTAGTGCGGGTGCGCTTAACTTATGTATTCGTGCTGCATGAATTCCAGAAAAACGGTATTCGAATTTACAGTTCGCAACAGTGTTGCCAACTTTTGTTCAGCAAAAAAAGCTGTTTTTAGTGGGAAGATACTTTAAAAAAAAGCTGAAATTTTGTGAAAAAAGTCGGACAAAAAAGCTGATGGTTTTTGCTTTGCTTTGATTGATATTTACTTATATTTTTAGTAACTAGAAGTCATGGCTGCATTTCTTTAACCGTGGCAAGCCGTATCTGTAAAGTTTTACGCTATATAGGTTTTACCTGACGCTTAAAATTGAGTAAGCATATCAATATTCATTTTATTGCGTTATGTTTTTACAGCATTGACCTGACTAAAACTTTTCGCCACTTGCGCGTTCGACCATGGCAAGGAAAGCAATGTCATTGCAAAAGTTCTTATAAGCACACCTCTTACCCTAAGCTATGTAGAGTCTTAAGAATTTCCTCATTGAACTGGGAGAATATTCTTATATTGGTGTTCAATACTTTCAAAATTCTTTGAATAGAATAACTCTAGTATTGGAACGATACTATTTATATTTACTCGCAAAATATATACATATGCAAAAAACAGAATTTTACACCATTTGAAAATTTGGCGGCAGCCTATTTATTAAAACATATTTAGTTAACACAAACTACTACTACTACTACATGATATCAAATGTGTTGCATACATTCTTTTTAATTGCTTTATAAGATCTATCAGAGAATTTCAAGTTCGATATTCTTGCTTAAATAAGTTATATTGAATAAAATATAAATCATATTTTAGTTCAGTTAGTTCCACTCTATTATCGGTTGGTTCATTCATAGAAAATTGACCTAATTAACTATTTAGTTTTAATTAAACTGCAATGACAAACACTTCTACATGCGATAAATCGCTACAAATGATGATAAATTGATCAGTAAAGAAAAAAGCTGAAAAAAAGCAAATTAGTTTTTTAAAAATCCAGAATTCCCGCTGCCCGCTGTTTTGTAATTTTTCCCGCAATTAGATTTTCAAAAAAGTCCGATTTGACTGGAAAAAAACTGATTTGGCAACACTAGTTCGCAATATACACATGAATGTAAGTTAAGTGAGGCAGACGATTCAGCCGAGTAAAAAAGAATTAAAGGAGTGAGTGCGAGTACATGAGTACGTGTACATGTTGAGAAGTTCGCATACAGACTCAAAAATTATAATACATGTAGCATGCTTGTTGCGAACAGATTTCAAATTTTTGCGCAGTTGCTTATGCGCATATGTAGGGAGAGAGCATAGGGAAGCATAGAGAGTAACGAATCATAGAGAGAGTAAGTAAATAGTAACAAAAAAAACTCATAGCATATAAAAATATGAACATGTATATTTGAGAACTTGCAGCGCACTAATTTTGTAGAGCCGAGCAAATACGAGGTAGAAAAACCACGCTTTGGCATCTTTTTAATTCCGCTTTAAGGCTTCATTTATTCTCACTCATTTTACTGAAGGCCGTAAGCGATGACGCCATGAGCTCTTTCCATTGTAAACACACTCAAGACTTTTTTCGCCTATCACGCACTCATTCGCATTCTCGTCAATTATCGTTTCTTTTTACTTTTGTTAATAACATGGCTGATCAGTTCAGATATTGCTTAAATCTATCATCAGTTTCTAGTTACCACCGTGGTATTTTAGTATTCAGAACATGTAGTATATACATATGAACCTTTGGGTAAATGTTTTACACTGTATAAGCAAATGAGGTTTTTATTTCATTTATATATTTTTACCCTGAACCCATTGAAAATGGGAAATCAGGGTATAATGGTTTTGTTAAAAGTATGTAACAGGCAGAAGGAGGCGTAGCAGACTCAACAAAGTATATACATATATTCTTGATCAGGGCGACGAGCTAATTCGATTTGGCCCTGTCTGTCTGTCTGCCCGTCCGTCGGTATGTATGAACGCGTCGATCGAATCATTTAATTATATCTCCTACACCTTTAGCGATAGAGCTTCCAAATTTTATATGTAGACTTTTATGTATTTTATACACTTTCGGTTTTTGTTAATAGACGTATTTCAAATACTAGAGACTTGTGCTTTGGTAAATGCATGCATATCCATGTTATAATCTTAATTTCATGAAGAAAGTATTGTACATCTACAAGAAAAGTTATTGAACTATTAAGTTCCCAAAATAAGCCACGACTGCCCTATAGGAAAAAAACCCCGAAATTTTGGCATAAATGCAATTTTTTGTGTTAATTTTTTAACTTTTTTTTTTATTTTCTAATAATAAACATCTTAACTAAAGTAGAAAATATTTTTAAAAATAATACTATATACTATACTATATAAGCAAAAAAAAAACGCAAATTTGTGTAGCTTTCAAGTTTAACGCTGCGGTAAATATAAAGAAAACTTTATATTTTAAAAATGGAAAACATTGCTAATAATATATACTTTAAACTGTTAATTCCAATTTTTGAGTTCATTTGTTTCATTGTCTAGTTTTTCTATATTTTAAAGTCGTGTATTTTAACTGAAAAATAAAAAAAAAAATTGTTCGTGTTTCGTGGAGTATAAGTTACAAAAAGAGGAAATTAGTGATGAAGTTTAGTTGTAAACGTGTTGTCGTTTTTACTCCATTTCGAAAAAATAACAATTTTCTAGATTTGGTGAAGCAAAAATTGCCAAGTAGAGCTAAAAAAATGTTTTTTTCGTTGAGAAAATGAATAACATTATGAACGAAAGTATGGAAAACATTATTTCTGCTCAAGTTGTCAAATATATTGATTTTATTAAAAATATTTGCCAAAAACTAGCCGGAATCTATAAAAATTAAAAAAAGGTCATTCATGGGTAGAATATGGAGAAACTTAAAAGAGCCGAGGTCCTCGCGAAATAAAATTCTCCATAAGGAAGCTAATTATGAAGAAGCTGACACTCAAGTGCAGATAAAATTTGCTTCTGATCTTGCAAGACAAGAGGAACACACTATTTGCTATCTTTTCTGAGCCTTATATAAATAGTGAACGATTTAGAGCGTTCTGCGCTCAAATATTGAAATAGACATGAATAACTTTGCTTCGTATCCCGTGAATATATTTTTGATCCATGGATACCAGTTAATGGTGCTGCCAGTATTCTTGAAGAAAACGCATTAGAACCTCGGAACAAAATTTATACAAATTTAAAAAGTTTTCATGTCCGAAAGAGCAGCAGATTAAGCAATATTACGAATGTTTTTCAGAGGGTATTAGGTTTATCTGATCATCTCTTGTTGTCTTTGTCTTTAAAAAAGGCAAAACTTTTCAAAATAATTAAATTTGCAAGTGAAGTGATTGGTTGCTCTAATTGAGCGTCCGTCAATCGCGCCGCAGTAAAGATAGATAGATAGATAGATATAAGCAAAACCGGAAATTCAAAACAAATATCTAGACTATTTGAATATCGAATTAGGTGAAAAGTATTAAGTATTAAAATTTCGGGCTTTTTTCCTATACTGCACTGCAGACAATGCGTGTTTATGTGTGCGTGCGTATG